ATTCCTCTTGATTAACCTTTCGTGAGCTTCAGCCAATTGTTGTTCCAACATTTTGACTCTAGCGTCCTTCTCGGCGTATTTTTCAAAATGGCTTTCTTTTCCTATTAAACATTCCTCAAAGCTTCCTCGCTTTGATTTAGTACACCATAATAGTTTTTTTGTTTTTCTTACTTTTCAAATTTTCTTTTTTAGCTTGCCGCAACATGGCTGCTCTTTATAGCATTCTCCCAAATCAACATGTGTTCCTTCATCAACAGCATCATATACGAAATACAATACCCTTTCGCTGATCTTATCTTACCCTCCCAACTTATTTTCTTAAAAAAAAATCAATATTGAATAATATCAAGTTTCACATACAATCTCTTTTCTTTGCTTATCACTTAGGAGGTTAAGGTTAATAATCATCTTGTAATAGAAAAAAAAAATTCTAATAATATTAATTAATACGAACAAAAAAAAAGGTTATCAAATATGGAACCTACACCTAAAATTTCGAACAAAATAATAACATCCGAAATGGATCAAAACATGCAACTTACCAGTGACTCCTCTTCAATTAATAATAACGGTAAGGTCAACATCATGACTCAAGATTTCAATCAATACATGGAGTTTTTAAGGTCTCCTCAGACAAAACCTGGTACATTCGAATTTGATGATTGGTTCGCCAATGACCTATCGGGTTACCTTAAGGAAGACTTCATTTTCCCTGCAGAGGGTCCGAATTATGATGTTTCTCCTTTGTTGGGATCTTCTATGACCACCCCTTCCCTTATACTTGACACTTCTCAAGAATTGGATGACTCTCCTCTTTTCAGTTCAATCCCCGCTTCTTTCTCCGCAAGTCCATCTCTTGAACCCGCTTTAGGCTTCTTCCCCGACCTTACAAATCCTAATGCCGCCGTTTCTCCAACGAATTCTCTTTTGCATCAACTTACCATCACGCCCTCCGTAACAATTCCTGTTGATGATGCTTCACCTTTAACTTCAATTTCTGGTGGTGGTTCTCTTTCTTCTTCTTCTCTCAACATTCCTTGGTCTTCTGAAGTGACCTCTGCGAATTTTCTTCAAAGCGCCTCATCTGAGTCACCTCTTTTTTCAACTTTATCGAACGCAAACGCCACCTCAAAGTCTTCATCTGTCGTTGCAAGTCCATCTGTAATGTCATCAACGTCTGCGTCCTCTACTCCTTTAATAAATAATCCCAATACCATTCGTCGAAAGAGGTCTATTAGTGAAGTTGAGAAGAATCCGCAACACATGGTTGATGATTTAGCCATGAAACGTGCAAAGAATACCGATGCTGCTCGTAGAAGTCGACTTCGAAAGGTGATTAAAATGGAATCGCTTGAAAAGCAGGTGACTGAATTCAAGATCGAAAATAATGAACTTCAAACTCGTGTCGCTGTGTTGGAGAGCGAAAAGAAAGGTTTGGAAGAAAAAAACGCCGAGAAGGACGCTAGAGTCAAAATGTTGGAACAACAATTGGCTGAAGCTCACGAAAGGTTAATCAAGAGGAAT